CCCCGCACCGCGCATCGCCCGTGCGGGGAGAGGCGGGTCCGGGGCTGCCGCCGCCCCCGCCGCGCAGGGGCTGAGCCTGAGCCCGGCGCCGCGACGGGCGCTGCCCGGGCGGAGGGAGCGGAGCCTCGTCCGTGTCTCCCCGCGGGATCCCCGAGCGCGGGCCGGGCACGGGGATGGGGCTCGGAGGGGCGCCCGGCGCCGCCTCCTCGCTTGCGGGCTGCGGGAGCCCCCACGCAGCGCAGGGCAGTTGAATCCCGCCCGCGGCGGAGCGAAGGACCGGGACGCGATTTATTTGCTGCATTCCCAGGGACGTCGCTTCCACCTGCGAGCGAGTTTGAGCGGTCGGCTGTGGATTTTATAGTTGCTTCTCCGCAAACCAAGGGTTAGCCGGGTGGCTTTGGCTTTTTGGGAAGGAGCCCTGCCCCGGCCCGCTGTGTGCGATGGATTGAGGCGTGCCCGGCTGCGCCCCCAGCCCGGCCGCCGCCCGCAGCCCACATCGATGCGATGGAAAGTCGGGGGCTGTTCTGCACCCTCTGTTACCTGATGTTCAACGCGCCTCTGCTGTTCATTGTCACCGGTGAGTAGGGAACTTTCGCCTCTCCCCGCGGCGATCCGCCGCTCCGGGCACCACTTGCTGGCGGGGGGCTGCGGGGCCGTCGGGGCTGAGCTCCGGCCGCGCCGCTCCCGCCGGCAGGTGCTGAGGGACCGGTCGTCCCCGGCTTGTTCCCAGCGGCAGTGCTGGGGGCTGGGGGCAGGGAGCTGCTCGGGCGGGCTCTGGCAGAACAAGGTGGCACTGTTGGGTCGCAGCTGCCGGCAGCGCGGAGCGGAACGGAGCGGGGCGCGGCGGGCGCGCAGCCCGGGACAGTCCCCGCACCCGTCTGCGGGAGGGGGCAGTGGGACACCGGTAGCTCTGAAAGCCGAGGGCTTTCTTGGGAGGGCGAGGGGGTTTAGGATCCTCTTCAAACTTTCCCGTTGGAGCCGCGGCTGCAGGGTGGCGGGGACCAGCTTGGCCCTGCCCTGCCCCGGGTGCGCAGTGCTGGATGCTCCGTTTGCTCTGCGGTCGCTGGGCTACATGAAACCCGTGTCTCGGTCAGCGCGTAGCCCTTGAGCTGAAGCAGCTCACGTTACGCTGAAAAGGACTGATCTTGTCTTTTAATGTCTCCCGTTAACCAGCCCTTGTAACTCTATCTTCCCCTCCCAGCTACCTTTACTGAAGTTCCCAAAGATGTGACTGTTAGGGAGGGAGATGATATTGAGATGCCTTGTGCTTTCCGAGCCAGCGGATCCACCTCTTACTCCTTGGAAATCCAGTGGTGGTACCTTAAAGAACCAGCCAGAGAACTTGCACACGAATTAGCCATCAGTGTCCCTGGCAGCAGGAGCAAGGTAATACATTGCTATGGAGATATATCTCTTCATTGATTGCAACGTGCTTAGAGGTGATCAAAATAAACTCAGCAGCCCCAGAGAGGAGACTGCTTCCTCTACCCAGTGCCAGCAACTGGTAGGAAGCACTGGTGTGCCCAGGCCCTCCGTGGGATGCAGGACTACAGGGTATGCACCATGGGGGACTTTCATCTCGGGGAAAAAAAAACATCAGTGCTTAAAGGATTGTAAATAGAAAGTGATAAACGTCCCACCACAAAATCATCAGTGAGGTCCCAAGAAAGCCAGTGAAAATAGCTTTAGTATGAAGTGTGGACAAGCAAAAACCTTGTGCTTCTGTAGACTGAACTAGGAATCATTGTAAAAGGTGGGAGAGCCTCTGCTCTCTGATAGTGCAGAGAAAGGCATGAGGGATACACCTCTCTCTGTTGGTATGTTAAGCTGATATCAGTCTGCATATACAAATGTACAACTTCTTGTTGTACTTGTACAATATCTGTCTATATCTGGAGCTCAGCAAGACGTTTTCAGTCAGATGTAGTAATTAAAATGCATGAAGCAGAGTTAAATCTTGCATCTCCTTTCCCCTCCCCCTAGCAAACCACTTGGCATGAGGGCAGGCTTTAGTCTAAATTTTTCATCTGCATTTCCCCAGCATAAGCCAGTTCATTCTATAGCCTCCCCTCAGTGCAAGACACCTTCCTGGTGCCAAACGGGGCTGTACAAGGAGTGGGGTAAAGCAGGACTTGCGGGATGTGTTGCCCTACTGTGCAGGGCACGTCATCCTCTCCAGCCTCCGTCCCCTGTGCCAGCAGGGTGGCCCGCGGCAGCCTCTGTGCCTGTGCCAGCTCCCCTCTCTGTGGCACGCTTGTTTTCCTGCAGAGCTCAAATAGAGATGCAAAGCATATAGACACTGAGCTAATGCGATGCCGCCTAGCTGGGGAAAGTGTAAGTCACTTGTCAGACTGGGAAATGAATTGCTTGGATTTAAATGTCTTCTTTAACCTTATATAAAAACTGTGAATTGCTTTTGCAACAAATGATGACAGTGCGTGCCTGGAGAATGATGACCGTCTCCCCGAGAGGCGCGTCGGTGAGGTCTGAGGCATCACTTAGGTTTACAGTAGTTGGCTGGAGACAAAAAAATAGCCAAATACAAAACCTGCTGAGTGGTACCTCTTCCCAGGGTGTCTCTGGACCGAAGCTCTGCCCTGAGCAATGCGGGATCCAGCTTGCCCAAGCACTTCACTGCGGTGCTGCTGGTAAAGCATCTTCCCCGGTGTTTGTCAGCAGCTGTGAGCAGCACAGCATGCAACAAGCGTTTCTTTGGCTGCTGTTCGCACCCTGGGTGAAGGCAGCACTTCTGTGGGCACCACGGGAGCTGTAACAAAACAATCTCTCCAGCTGAGCACTGTTTTGCTGCCCTACCCATAATCTGGGGAACTCCCCCAGGCCACACACGAGCTGTGTGATTGGCAAGTGGAGAAAGTTGTATCTGTCCATGTCCTGTCCTTGCACTGGGGTGGGAATATAAGCATCTTGTTGAGGTACTGGCAGCACTGAGTCTAATCTCCCTTTTTTCTGTTCTTTTAGGTAACAAATAAGGATGCAACCAAAATCAGTGTAAGTGCAGCTCGAGATGGGTGTGCGCCCCTCCTCCCATGCACGTGGGGTTTACTGCATGCCCCCCTCCTTTCCTGACACACGAATGCAGTTGGTCTCACTGGCAGCCCTGCTCCTGCAGCACGGCAGGACTGTGGCACGTTCCCCCTCCTCAATGTGTCACGGCTCGATCAGCGCGATACCATCTGTTGCTGGTTTTATAGTCACGTCTCATTCTTTGCAAATCCAGAGGAAGTGATGCTTGCCTTACAGCTCTTCCTTACGCACGTTTGGAAAAGATTGTGGGCCAGATTAGGAGAAAATGTCGCACAGCGACCCCCTTCTCTGCCTGTCCTGCAGGAAACACACCCCTTTATTTGATGCGGGCCCGGGATGCCGCTGCCCCTCTCCGCGGTGCTGAGCCGCTCCGGCGGAGCCGGACTCAGGTGCCCTGCTCAGCCCCGGCGGGGTGTCACCGAGCCCAGCCAGACTTGTCCCTCTGCAGCAGGCGCGGGGCGACCCCCGAGGGGCTGCGCGTTCCCCACGGGGCGGTTCGTGCGGGCTGGAGGCTGCCCGGCACCGGGCACTGCGCGGGGGGCGAGGGGAGCCCCGCGAGGGGGTTGGTGGTGGGGGGGATGTGCGGCTTTGGAACCGCGAGGTGGGGCTTTAAGGGCTCGGTGCTCGGTGTCCGGTAATTCGGGGGGAATTCGCCCCGTGTCTGGGGCCAGGGCAGGGTCGCTGCCCGGGGCTGAGGCGGTGCCGGCGGTGCGCTCTCTCTTGCAGACGGTCCGCGTCCAGGGCAACGACATCTCGCACCGGCTGCGGCTCTCGGGCGTGCGGCGGCAGGACGAGGGCGTGTACCAGTGCCGCGTGTCGGACTACAGCGACGACGAGACGCAGGAGCACAAGGCTCAGGCGCTGCTGCGCGTCCTGTCCCGCTTCGCGCCGCCCGACGTGCAGGCGGCCGAGGCGGTGTCGCACATCCAGAGCGGGGCCGCCCCGCGCCGCCACGGCCCCGCCGCCCGCCCCACGCCGCCGCCCGGCCCCGGCA